TAACTCACCCTCGATAGATGAACTGATCACACTGCACAGGTTGCGCTGGCTTGGCCACGTGCTGCGTATGCCAGTCGACCGACTTCCTCGAAGGGCCCTTTTCGCCCAACCACGTGAAGGGTGGAAGAGAGCCAGAGGCGGTCAAACAATGGCTTAGCAGCGAAGTGTGAAAGTCATTACCAGCAAACTCATCTGCGCTGGTAATTGTCGTCTTCCTGGATGGGGACACCGAGACGGGCCACATCAATGGCTGGTGACATTGTCAGACATGGCCCAGTCGCACCCTCAATGGCGCTCGTGCTTCAAAGCTATTGCCTTCAATGCATTGCACCTTTTCCACCCCCCCACTTGGCAGCCCACTGACAGTGCTGGATTTATGCACCAATTTACCAGCTCGCGCCCGCAATGCGCAGCTACCTACCCCCTCCCTCAAGTCATCGGTGAACGAAACTGCGGCAGCTGCAACCACTGTACGACGAGTGCGCGGTTATGATGATGATGAGATGAATGGTGCGGTTAATTGTAAATATGAAATCGCCTTAATTGTAATATGAAACTACAAAATAAGCGCACAATTCAACACTAATTACTCTGAGTCCTTACCCGTCTGCGTCCAATCGCTTGGGAGTTCAGTTCTGGGTTCCGGCACACGAATGATATGCTGCTTTTTTCCAGATGGAATGCTTGATGTAGACTGCTGGGCTGACTGCGGGCATCAGCGGCCTCTGGAAAGGGGTCGACTGTTTTGCAGTACGTCTTGGATAAACTATGAGCCTTCCTAGTGAAATCACATACCTACTAAACTATTCCAAGTTCTCTTTGTGAATTTAACTCTCCTCCTGGGATCCTGTCATATTGGTTGGGATTTCCTGATCGAGCGAAACTCCGTGAGATATCTTGAAGCACCATTAATCTGCAAGTAGTGCCTAAGCTTCACGGCTTTTTTGGGCCGCTCCATGATTGTCTTCGTGGATGATGCGTAACCTTAGGATATGTTCCTTTCTTGAACACAACTGTACCACTTATTTAATGGCAATAACCCGTGTCTCTGTTTTCCAGTCACAGTCGTGATGCCGTGTCCTGTATGTTTTAATTACCTCAGTGACTTCAAGAATACGTGTATAGTGAACCCGCGCAAGCTGGCGGCTTCCGTCGTTTGCGAATTTTCCTTTAGAAATTAACTTAAAATATTTTACGGATTTTCATTGTGAAAGTACCATAATTATCAGCGGTACAAAGTTAGTGTTTAGCACTGATGTTTCGCTGCTGTACAGCCATAATTAATTTGAATTCCTTATTTTGAAGAAAACGGTAAATGTGGAAAGGACTAAGTGCTAGAGTATCACAATCATTCTTTGGTGTTTACACTCCCAGACAATTTGAATGGAAGCTAACAACAACACCAATGGCGCCGATCAGCGATCATATTTTGCAGCGCCTCCAACCATGTGTAGAGGGGATCATTCGGACCCCTTCCTGGTAGGCGTCACACTGGCAGTACTCAGACTTAATGCACTCTATCGTACTCCGCCAGGTCAAGGATTGGCCACCTCTCTGCTTGCGCCGCCATGAATTGGGCAAGGGAAACATCATTATTTTCTGCAAGCACAACCCAACCACCGTATCTTTCGGTGCAGCACGCTCTCCGACAGAAGTCCCCGTTGCGCAACCGAACATTAGCTCCCTAATAGCCCCTCTGTGGATCCGCCTACACCAGCCTACACGAGCCATGGTTCTGAGACAACGGGTGGTGAACACCTGAAGGCGTCTCAGTTCCGCTGCTCGAATAGGCCATGTCTCACAGCCATACAATGGAACATCCCGTACCGCAGCCTAATACACGCGTCCCTTGAGATTTAGGGAAATGCCGCCTTGACGCCATAGGTGTCCCAAATTAACAAACCTGATCGAGCCTCGCAGATTCGTGTACTGACCCAATCTTTCCCATTACTGTCGGAACTAATACAACGTATAAGATACGCATCCTAACTTTCAGTGCCTCTGCTTGGATTGTAAATAGTGCGTTCGGTGACCACGTGCAGAGGTTTGACCCTAAACTTTGTTGGTGCAAATCTCATGCTAAATATAGAATGACTTTGGCCGGTCTATCCAAATGTACGCGTTTTCCCCTCTTCAAAGACTAGAACAATGTCGTCTCCATATTCCAAACCGGCAAGGTTTCCTTCGGCAGATATTTGAACACCGGGGTTTTGAAGACATTCTAGTGTTCGTCTCATTATCTGGTCGACGACGAAATTAAATTGGAATGGAGAGAATGGGTACCACTTCTGTACGGAAGCTCTTGCAGAGGTTCGCGTTACTCCCACACTTGTAAGTCTGAAAACACAATGAACGTATGATATTCCCAAACTTCTGGGGCATTCGTTGCTGAGCAAGTAAACAAGAAAAACAGAAGAATCACCTGCGACAAATGTGCCTTGGAAATCCAGAAATACGAAACCTGTGGGTGGCTTACACGTTGTCCTAACGTCTGACGGAGCGTGAAGGTGTGGTCAGTGCAACACCTTCCATGCCGGAATCCCGCTTTTGGCTTTCACATCAATGCTTCATGTGACACTGTGAAAAAAACGTGTAGCTGCCTTGCCAGGTTGCCAAAGCCCAGGCAGGGGAAATCGGGTACAGAGGTCGGTTTCAAACCTCGGTCAATAAATTCACGCTCTAACCACTGAGCCATCTCGCTCCACCTGATGTTGATGAGGATGATGGCTTCCATTTTTGAAAAAGAGCAGAGATTGCGAGCATTATTAAGAAAGCTAACCAAAGCCAAAGTCCTTCGGCATGTGTTTTACGCCCACAAGGTTCAAAGTCATGCTACAGCATGTTTCTGAACATACATGCTTTTGAGGATTCAAAGAGTGATATGAGAATTGTGAAACACCATGCGTATCTTGGATGTTGCGTTAACTCTGATGGTAACGTGACACGTGGTGAACGCACGAGTATCGAAGGCCACTTAGGGTGGAGGATCTGAGAGATCTTCAGGTCTTTGACGACTGATGTCTCAGAAGTACAGCTAAAGTCGCGCGGGACCAACGAATTTCTGGTAAACGAGAGATTGCTTTCCTCAAAGAAACCATCTGCCATTACAAACGACGGTGGCCGGACAGTTTGTTGGACCTGATAAGTTACAGCCTGCCCTAATTCGGAGTGCCGGAAACCTAGACACGGAGGGCAGAGGGGTTTCAAAGATGTTACAACAAGTTTTAGCGCTGTTCACCTTCCAGGATGGGGTCCATGTGACTCCCAGGTGCTTGGTTGGGGACACACTGAAACGTCGCAGCTAATTGATGTCAACGGCGTCCATGCTGTTAGTTCCTATCCAGATTGTTCGACTAAGTATTACGGGTGTCGGCTCCTCGGTTATTTATGGTAGGCTAGCTCTAAGTCCTCTGTCTCCGTGTCTTAATCTTCGTCAAATTAGGAGTGGCTGTACAGCAGTGCAGCACCAACATCCTTACCGGTCGTTGCTTTTAGTGGTGACGATAAATCCTGGCCGACTGGAAAAGAGTGGAATATTCCTGCAGACTCCGTCCTTGATGAACGTAGTATTCTAGCAGAAAGGATATTTTAAGCCTGTTTTTCGAACACTACATGATTATTTTTCTTTCAGCCATGTCCAGTCGTGAGGGTGGTAAGAAAAAGCCTCTGAAGCAACCGAAGAAAGCACAACAAGAAATGGATGAAGATACTATGGCGCAAAAACAGAAGAAGCGGGAGGAACAAAAGAAATTGGAAGAAGCCCGTGCCTTGGCTGCATCCCGCGGACCTATTGGGCAAGGAGCTAAAAAGATCACAAAGAAAAAATGACCCTTCAATTATCTGAATTGTAAATGTGCCTTTGTTAAGATTCGCGGTTTTACCTCCAACATGTAATGAATTGGTTTTTATGCATCATGCACCTAGGTTGGCGGTCAAACAGATGTCAAAACTGAATTTAGTTTGTATAGTTAACTACTTACTGGGTTTGGACAAGCGTTTTCGGGGGCTTCAGCCTCTACTACTAATCTAAGCTGTATCGTCGAATATCAGTTAACGGTGGAGAGCCTTTAAAACAGATGCCAATACCATCTCCATTTTTGAGGAATTCGCGGGATGGGCTTTTTGGCCCCTTTTGGGGGAGAATGAACTATTCTGAAAGGTATTGCATGAGGCTGAGGAACAGAGTAGTAGGTCTCACGGATTATTTTAGAGTATTCGGTGATTCATTTGGTTGGTCTCCTGATACGCGCGCCTCATTCAGACAGCGCATACATAAATCTCGGTTTTCGCTTCAAATACACTCTGAGTCATTCATCGGCATAAATAGCGTCCACTGATGTCAATAGTGGTTTCTCAAAGCGCTTTCAGGAGAATCCTCATTCAAATTCGATCTCGACACAAGCGATGTCGTGATATAAAATAGAAGTAGACAGGTGAAAGACCCAATGGGTTACCCTAAAATAGAGGATCAGCATCTCTCTCAGGTTTGAGTAATTCCAATATCGCATTTCGCGCGGTCCGAAACTACAGGACATGGCGCATAACCGACCCCCCTGATGGACATGCTGTCGCTGCCTAGCCGGACTGAGATCGTCGTTCGCTGGTCCTGTTGAATGAAGTTCGGAAGGATGCAGCGTAGATCCCGCTGACGGGATCTATGAGCCCGAACGTTCCTGTGACGCAGTTGGGCCAGTGGCTCTTGAAGTTTCCCGGTGGTTTGTCTCAAACTCCGAATAGACAACGCCATTGCTTTGCGCGTACAGTGAAAACGTGTTATGGCGTGGAGTGTTAGGAAGATCTAACTGAGAAAGACCACCACTTTCGGGTACGATCTAGTGTGCAGTCCTCCTCGGTGAGAGCTCATCCTCTCTCTTCACGCTGTTGTTCCGATACATGCTATGGTTCGGTTTGATGGGTGCATAAAGCCTATATTCACTCGGAAAGAGTTTGCAACTGACAAATCAGTTAGTATAGAATCCGTTTTAACAAACAGAAACACGGAAAGGGATAATGAGTTCCTCACCACATGCGAATTTGGAAACGGTAAATTTTAAGACGGGTTTCACATTTTTTCTGCAACTAATTCGAACTTTTGAATTTAAGTCCTAGTGTGGTTTCATTTATGCTGTCAAACCGTCGTACAGCTCATCTGGATTTTCTGACGATTAAATTCTGATCAGGCGTATAACGGTTCACTTAGTAAACCAAATTAGAATGTGAACGATATGTTAGAATGTCTACTATCGGACTACGAGCACAAGTCCGCTATAGTAGATGGAATTCAGTAGCCTCGGACTGTTTACGCACGCACAAACAGAAACAAACATCTTAATCGCCCCTGCAAATCCACTCTATCGTTTACTTCTAGAAAGCTGAGGTAGTCAAATGCGCATTTGGCTCCAGGATGAGAAAACCCAGCACACTAGTTGCCGCTAGAGGAATGCGCATCTAGGCAACACCAGGACTATATTTGTATGGAGGCGAAATACAATGGGATCAGATTCCGGTAGTCTCAGTTGAGAGGGTTTCCTGAACGAATTAAGAAACGCAGTCATTGAAGTCTGGTGTATAGCTAATATCTAACATGAAGACAGCAAGATCCGAGATACCACCGGTGGCCTACCAACTGGAAAGTATGCATTTTTTTCTCAAACACGCCACCTTTGTCCACGAACAGAACATGAATGAACCTTCCCTTAAACCAGGCTGAGTGGACACATCTTGTTAACTACCAGATTGCTGGGAATCTCATTGAGTTCACATAAGTAGGTTTACGGTTTGAATTGATCACAAACTTCGATGCATTTTCGCCCCCATACAAATGGCTGCTTTGACTGGTTCATGTCGAGAGGTAAGCTCTATATTTGTTGCTTTTCGGTAAAGCATGTTCGCGTCCGTTCTTTTGAGATGCGGCGCAGGTGCGCTTAGCATTAATTGTTTTGAAAAGTCACCTTCTGCCACGCGTATTATCAGCCAGAACAGCCAAAGCAGTCATATCCACCAGACCAACCACAAACTATGGAATGCTAAGGTACCGTGACCATACCAAACGGCAACGGATCAGAGAGGCAGTTCTGTTTTGTCACAGTGCGGCAGAGGATAGGGTGTGCATGGGGATGTTTTGTCACGTTAAGCATCCGAGTAGGAATAAGGGTTTGGGGGACTGAACGCTTGAGACAATATACACATTTGGACCTGTTTGCGTGCAGCGGAAAGGGTAGAGAGCCAGGAAATGAACGAAAACGTGGCCGGTGGAAGTAACTGCTCCATAACAAAGCAGAGCAGAACAACGAATATTACAGCCTAATTCTATAAACGGTCTACTGAGGCCATGAAACTCCATGCCATTGCTCCAGAATTGCCGAACTGCGAACGTATTCCTCATTTATGGGAAAAGCCAGTCACAGAGTCCATGTTATATTGTTAGCCGCAGTATTGCGGGGCAGTGCCGAATGACTGACTCCAATTCGTGCAAGGCGTCCCCATAAATGGAGTACGGCAAAACGGTGAGTATATTAAAGACTTTCCGGGTGGTGCGGCACACAGAGGTCTTAAATTTTGGTCGCTATTTCTCAACTTGTTAATTTAACGTCAGTTCATTCAGGATGTATACCTGTAGGTTACAGGTTTCGTTCTCAACATTATCTAGCACTCTAGACGAAAAAAAAGTTTATCTTGTTCACTGGCACTGAGGTCAGGGTGGAGAACACGAGTTATTGTACTGTATACAAGTGTCAAAGGCGTTTGATACACGACATTTCGCCGAATATTCTGTTCCGGCGACCGATTTTACCGACGCCAAAATGCTAGGAGCAATACTCAAGAGCACTCCAATCGAGTGTACTTAAAACAGCACACTTGAAAGCAAAACACTGGTTCGAATCGACAAGATCTGAAATGGGTCACGCTTTCTTTATTTTTGTGTACAGGACTGAAAATAATGTAAGGCTGCGTGAAACAATGAATACAAGTGGTAAATGAATTTAGTACCAAAATCCACCGTCAAGGCCGAGTTTTTTGCATTCTAGACCTCAATTCAGCCTTGATTCCTTTCGGCGATCGATGTTCACGCAATTCCTTGTAAAAATGCCGACCAGCACGACCTTGTTGCCGTTTCAGAGCTCGATGAAGTCGACGCCTCTGCTTTCCCGAAAGGGCCTCTACCGTATTCTGACTTTCTTTAGCTGGTATGGTTTCTGGATGCTCTCCGTCATTCAGATCATGCACGGGCTCGTCGTCATCAGTCTGAGAACAAAGCGTAATTTATGAGTTTACGGATAGCCATGCACAGTAATATACAGTTGAGCTGTTTTTTTACAGTTCCTTATTTAATGAGGAAGTCTTTGAGGAAGCTAACGCGTCAAAATAAACCAAACTAAGAGCTTTTCACTTTTAGCCATTCTCCTTCACAAACCTGAGACCTATACTCAAGTTACGTTACAAAAGCTCAGCATATAATGACGAAGGGAATTACGTGTGGCCCACCCTGTCTTTGAGTAAAGGCTCTATGAACAAATGTTAATGACATTTTCTGTTAGTCTCCGGCTACGTTGTTTGAAGGACCATCAGAAACAATTCTCTCATCTCGCAATATAAGAGCGGTTAACTGCTGGGGCGGCAGGAAACCTGACCGCTGCGCGCCGAGGACGGCGTAAGATCTTCATTGTTTGACCAGCGATATCCTCGGAGCTTGCCCGAGTCTGCTGGGAACACTGGATCAGTCATTCTGAAGTACATCAGACGATTCCTAGGAGAAATTCACTCATGATAGATGAGCTGNCTGGGGCGGCGGAAACCTGACCGCTGCGCGCCGAGGACGGCGTAAGATCTTCATTGTTTGACCAGCGATATCCTCGGAGCTTGCCCGAGTCTGCTGGGAACACTGGATCAGTCATTCTGAAGTACATCAGACGATTCCTAGGAGAAATTCACTCATGATAGATGAGCTGATCATACTCCATGGGCTGCACTGGCTGATTCACATTCTCCGTATACCAGCTGACCGGCTTCCATGAAGAGCCCTTTTCGAACAACCACGCGAAGATTGGAAACAAGCCAGGGGAGGTCAGCGAAGTGTGAAAGCCATTACCAGCAAACTCAGCCGCGCTACTCGTCTCCATGGATGGGGACCCCGAGACGAGACGTTTAGAGACAATGCACAGCTCCCTTCCCAGTCTCCCCACTTGAAAGTTCACTGACAACCCAGTATTTACGCATCAATTATATCAACTCCCAACTCTAATGAGCAACTGCCTACCCCAAATCCCCAAATCATCGGTGAACGAAACGGTGGCACCTATAACCACTGTACGACAAGTACACGGGTTTTACAGATGATGATGACTTCTGTAACTGATGTTGCCGTCTCCGATGATCTGATATCACATCGTCTCTAATTAGTTGTTTTATTGGGTCCGCGAAGGAACAGCATCACTGCAGACTGCTATGCTCCGAGTTATTTGCAGTCCAGAACTATGCTCCCGCCAGGCGAAGCCACGAAATCCACCGCTGATCGATAACGGCTGATAATAACACTGCGGCTTTTTAGTCAAGAACAAGAAACAACTTGCACGGAAATGTTTTAAAAGCTCTAGATAGAGAGTAAACTCACAGAATTGTTGTCTCTTCAAGATGTATGTTCGAGCTGGTTTTAGTGGGAATCGACAAGACCCCCTTCAAAAACCTGTTTATTTAATAAAAGCCTCGTGCATTCATCGTTAAACACTCAAGTTAGTCTCTATACTTCTTAATATACGACCAAAAGTAAGTACGTTTCATTTAGGGACTTACAGAAACTGCATCCATGTCAACATCTTCCACGAGGCCGGACTCAATAGCCGCAGCAAGGGATGAATTGAGCGGTTTAATCCCCGGCGTAAAGTCTCCTTCATCTCCCTCATCCAACTCTTCGGCCAAGTCCTGACGGAAGATCAAAGGGGACAAGTTCACTCTGACGTGTCACAATTTATACAGTTCCCTTTTATTCCACAGATCACTGGGTGCCTAGTAATAGTGAATTACGAGGACTGAGCTTGACCATATCGAAAAGGATAGAGGCATCCACAGACAGGAAATAACAATTCAAATGGAAGCAAATTCCTCACCTTTACCATCTCCTCGATCATTTCGCCTTCACGGTCCTTCTTGTCCTCTTCTGGCTCCGGTGGAGGTTTGACGAAGTAAGGTAGCTTCCCGCGTTGGAAATCATTCAATATACGTTTGGCGGTTGTCATCAAATCTGGCTCTCCGCCCTAAACAAGACGAGAGTGGTTAGTCCCATCATACACTGGAACAATATAGTCTCTGTAAAAACTGACAAACCTTTAAAAGTTTTCCTGTTTGTCGAGAAACCAGCTCCAAGAAAAGCTCAGTATCCGTTAACCAAGAAGGGTTGGAAGCGTCTGTGGTAGGCTCCCTATCGATAGCAGGTGTTTCTTGCGGAAGCCTATAGCGAACTCGAAGGTATTCCGGCCGGACACGATCAAGAACATCCCGTATGTACAAATCAGGTTGTTGAAGATATTCCACACGGACCTGAGTTTATGATAGAACAGTGATCTGCTGAATTCATGACGAATATCGATATAACATCGTCAAAAGTTAGGAGGCAACTAAGCGTAATCCATACGTCAAAAAGAGATTAAGTGAAGCGTATTAAAGAAGGGACAAAATTCAGTCAACCCAGTCACGATAGGTTCGGCGTACCCCTAAGTCTGAATAAATACGCCCCACTTCGTTGGGCATCCTGTTACCCACATGGATGCACACACTGCCCACAGGTGTAGACTGAGTATATACGGATCCCACTGTTCGTACTCGTTCTGGTATAGCAGTATGTATTTACGAAATTGACAATTTTCACATTGGGTCTGAATACAGACCACCAGGGAGGCTGATCAGCTGGAAATAACGCTGCTGTCAAGACGAGTTACCAATCGGAAACAGTGGTTGGAAGCGCGTCCGTCAAGGCGAAATCTCAGCCCGCACGTCCCCTTCGAACCACATTTACCTATGTAACGAAAACGGGCCGAACCCGGATAGCTCAGATATCTGATCGGGAGCCCCAACTGTTGGTGGAAGTTGTACAAATCCATAAACACCTCCGGAAAAATCCGCACTATTGTTTGGAATCATCAGGAATGTGCACCTATAGAGCTCGCGGCACAGGAGCGTAAACTGATGCCCGAAGCCCAACAGACCCCTCAACTGTGAACTCACGATGACCAACATAAAGTAGCTGCGGAATTCGCAAGATTTTAATAAAAAAATAATTGTCTCTCTGTAGCATCCTTCAACCCCCCGGCTATCATTAAAACGGTAACATGCGGGAGGACCATGGATTCACAGGATCATACTTTCACGAGGCCCACTGTAATAGATGAAAGAATGGACAGAAATATATGCAGACCAATACAAAAAATACGTGCAGTGTAAAATACGGTTGAAGACTACATTTACTGAGATGACCTCGAAAGTAAGACGCACTCTTGCAGTTAGGTGAGTGGGATAGTAATGAATAAACCCAAGTTCAGACCGCAGAAATTCTCATAGGTTAGACAGTGTGATTTGCCTACAACTAGACTTAGAAGGACGCACAACTGGTAGTGGTACAGGTTGGTTTTGTTCGAATAATAATTTGCGTTTAATTACAAACAGTTATTATAATTTCCAATAAGCTTACTCCACTCCAACTCTCTATGAAGCCCAAGTATCTATCGGTGATACATAAGCGGGTTATTCCTTGGTTCAAATACTGAAAATAATACTCCGAACGATTTCGTTGTATACGAAGAAAGGAGTGCAGGTCCTCACAGCACTTTCTAACAAAATTTTTATGAAACAAGCGTGCATTTGGAGTGATCAGCGAATCATTCATCCTTCAAACAAAAAAGGTATCTGCATAATCCACTGGAAAACACTGGTGGATGAAATTACGGTCAGTCAAAGAAAACTGACACAGAGGTGGGGATTCCGTAGATCACTTGAGGAACTCAAGTGGCCATTACGCAGAGGACTGCCACTTGCGAACCTCTTGAGGTTGTGTAAAAAGACGAATTAGTCAGGTGACATCTTACCAGTTCTGTACATGGCAGGGTTTTATGTAAAATCAGCACGGTTGCGTGGTAGCTATGAGCCAGTGCTGCCACAGCGATAAGGTATCAGTGACGACGATGACGACATGACTTTCCTATCAATATATAAATAAATATATATATATATATGTACTTGCGTTAATTACAAGGTTATTTTCAAAGATACGCTAGAAAGACTCTCATAAGATGAATCCATACGTGCAAGCCCATTACCTTATTACCTTCAAAACAGGCCAACAGATACAGCGTTTTAGCAACAAACAAAACAGAGGGAACGTACAACGCCTTTCATGACCAATTCCGCTTCTGTTGCTCCTTCAGGATAGACAACACCGGGACAGTCGATGAGGAAAATGGATTTCATCAGAGTGACGTACTGCCAAACCTTCGTTTCTCCGGCGAGAGGAGCCACCTTGCAAACCTTCTTGTTACTAAGGTTTGTTAAGAAAACGGAGGACAGAAGTCAAAGACGGACAAACCAGTCAATGCACTACCGCGATTTAAAGCTGCAGTTTACACAGCAAGAGCGGGCAATAACAAACACGTCAGCAATTCGAAGTTTGTGTTTGAAACAGAGATGTATATTCGACTTCGTTTTTGCATGTGCAGCTAGAAGGGCGGAGCGATAGCTCGATTTCAAACATACCAGGTGCGATTCGCACCTATTCGGCACGGAAAAGTGTTAAGAACTGGACTAGATGAAACGAACAATTCTTGAGGACATGTATCCGACGTGATTGCACGGTTTAACTGTTCTATATGGACTTGGTTACTACTTTCCACCTTCCACCGAAGGTGGCAGCGTCTTCGCCCTGATCAGAGGTAGAATGAAGGCTGCCGCCGCTACGACTATACTATCGCTAACTTCATCTTCATCGAGGAGACCACTGATATCATGAGCAGTAAATCAAGGATCTGACGTCTGCTTCAGAGAAAAAACGCTACCCATAGGTCCACTGCAAACGGGAATCCAGATAAGCCGGTCCCGCCAGCGGGCACCTTTTACTCTTGCTAGCTTACAGCTGTCTTCTCGCCTTTTTTTCCACATAAAGGCCTTCTTTACCCAAAATAGCATGACTGTACTGGTACCAATAATGGTACTGGTGTCACGCAGTTGCTGCTAGTGAATTGTGGGATCATGCGCGTTTTACCACATTTTGTATTGTTATCCACTCTTGCTGTCATATAAACCGCCAAGGCGGTAGGAGTCCGTTAGGTTCCAGTTGAAATGGGAATCCTGTTTACTACTGCTAAACCTGTTTAATAATCTGTTAGTAGGTGGCAGTTTGCAGGGCTACATTAACAGTGGCATGGGGAGCGAAATTAGCCTACGGGATACCTGACCAGATATGTCAAAGGCACAAGACAGTAGAACCATATATGAGGAAAATCCTTGGAAGGGGACAGAGATGCTTCTAGATGTGAGCAAAGCTACCATTTTCAGAAACTCTCATACGGATCAAGTAGTGGCATGGGTGTGTTTGTTATATCATACAGACTAACTACGAAAAATACATGATGGAGCAAAGCGGTAAAAGGCATAGGCAACTTTACAAGAAATCCGTGACTTTATTGCAGGGAAAGAATCGAACAAACTGAAAAACAGCAGGCGGGAAAACAGTTCACAGCTCAGAAGGATACGGCGACCCCAATGAAGCGAACCGCTAATAAAAGTTTTCAGATGATGCATAGGCACATCGCATAGAAACTGTAATCAACAATCAACAAATACATATTTGAAAGAAACGTACCGTAAGGCATTTATGATGCTACTTTTACCAACATTCGGATAGCCGATAATCCCGACGGAGATCTGCTGTCGATGCTTACTGTGTAGGGAGGACAACTGTCTGAGAAGACCCAATAAAGCAACTTTTCCGATTGGTTTATTGAGATCAGCGTGAAAAACCATCGTTGGATATTCCTGGGAGAGGATCGCCTTCCATCGTTTCTAAAATTGACAAAATGATGAACACAATTAATCAGGTGTTGACAAGTGTAACAGGTTTGATAAACAACCTCAGAATAACCAGAACAACCCACATGACCCTAATGGTCATCCATCTTGAATTGACAGGGAGAATGAAGGCTATCAGTAAATGACCTCATCTGTAAGCACAAGCGACTATTGCATTTATATCTACTCGATGAAATAAAAATATGGACGTTTGGCATCTACCCGACGTAAAAAATTGGGCTGTGTAGGCACCGTGGACAGTATTTGATGCAGGAAATTTTCGGAGCCATGTGTAATGCAATTAGAGTTTATAAATAAAAACGCAGCGTTGTGGCATGTGGTACCACCATCCCAAGGAAAGACAACTGCCCCAACTTGAGACTCCACAGGTAAGGAGTTTCAAAATAACTGCCAGAGCCCTTCATGCATTTGAGCAGAATAAACGGGTTCCAGGCGAAATTTGCAGCGTCTGCGTGTCAGAGCACTAGAAAATAACACGCACCCGATTCACATTTATTGCATGGATGGCGTCAAACTCATTTCCATCTTGACTGGCATGACGCATCAGTAGCCAAAGACAACCGCCCAACGCAGCAAACCCAATCACGCTGCCGTTACAGACAGTTCACTGATCAGTTCTAATAAGACAACTTCATTTATAGCACATGAAATCGACCAATATTTTCGCTTCTCAAGGAACCCAAAATTTGCGTAGACTATCCCACCAACCGCAAAAGAACAGTCCAGATGGACGTCATGTTGGTGTCCTTAAACAAGGGCTTATGCAGCTGGCAAGGAGAGGAAACATCAAACAAAACATGTGCATGTTTTGCGATTCTATCGAGCAACATACAGTAACTCGGTACCCTAATAATGCTCTCCAGCCGTGCTTGACCACTGGCATGATTTTCCCTAAAAATGTACTTATAAGAGAAAGTGCCTCATGGAGAGAAAATTCATTGGGCAGTGAGGAGCAATACCACGTTCTTTCGCTCTAGGCGCCCGTGTTTACATAAGAAACTTCCGGACAAGTCGAGAAGAATGGATAGTTGAAGTAATCGTACAACACATTACATATGAAATGCGCGAAGTTAAGCTAGGGTAGTTTATCTGCATCCGATGCAGGATGATGGTCACCTGGCACAGGAAAACTGAACAATGGAAGATTGGACTCAGTGTCGGTCAGTGGAGAAAAAATGGATACATAATGGATCTGAACCAAATGAGATGTTATCGAAGACAACTCTTTTCAGTCTTTTTGTCTGTGAAGCAACTTTGCAAACTGTCAAGAAGTGAAGAGCGCGGTGCCAGCCGATTTTACAGTGTCCGGTAAGGAACCGCACGGGGCGGGTCCCGACTAAAAGCCATCGAGGTAATGCGGTGATTCGGGCAGTGAGTACTTCATTGACATAGGCTGATAATAAGGCGGCGTAACGCTAAAACGTCAATGGACAAAATACCAAGTCTCAAGAAGCTGTTCAGGGAATTATCCAGCATGCTTATAGTCAACCAGTCTACGCACACCAACAATAAATCGTTCAATGACTGTGTACGCAAAGAATCAACAACTGACATGAGAGCATCATCCACATCTGATGGTCCCTTCATATATGGAAATAAGGTGTCAAAAATCCGTTATATCAAACAACTGAGGAANACAGTGTTCGCATAGGTTTTCGCAACAGTGCTACCCTCCAAACTTCGGCTTTTACTGATTGCCCAGAATTCAATACGATGCTACCATTCCTGCAGGCAGAGAAGTGAAACTCATATTTTTTGATACCGAATAAACCACAAAATGGAAAGTAGTAGTTTACCTTTTTGTCCACAGCAAAAGTAATCACTGAGTTTTGAAATTACCGTCGGTGGTTCGAAGAAGGGTAAAATAAAAACAACTGCTAGGCATTGGTTGTAGATCAGTTGGCTGTTGATCTGTTCGCCGAGCTTGGCAATTGGCTTGCAAACGTTTCGGCACCATACGAGGATGATGATGTCACCTCGTATGGTGACGAAACGTTTGCAAACCAATTGCCAAGCTCAGCGAACTGATCAATAACCAGCAAACTCACCCGAGCTACCAATATTTGACCACATTACCAACTGCTACGCAGTTAAATCTCAAACCATATAGGCCATCCGAAGTGATTGCATAACTTAACGACCATCTGGTTGTGCAAAACATGAACTTACCGTAATCCACACTGGTACGAGATCAACTTTGTTGATGACAAAAATGAAATGCTTGTGCGGTTTTTCTGTTTTCAGGTATTTTTCAATATAAGACGACCGAGTGCCCATTGGGTCACGAGCATCCAACACGTAGAGGACAACGTCCGAGGAATCTAACACCTGTGCAATGCACAAAACAGGACCAGTATCATAATCCCAGAGGTAAATAGGAGGTATGAAAGCAATTCCTCTCGGGACAGTTGGAAAATAACCAGTGAGATTCCCATTAGGGTTTCCTAATTTCTATACACCATCCAAGTTGCTCAGGACCTACCGGTTAACGCAGACAAAAATGAAAACACGGTCAAAACATTCAGCGAACCCAGAGATCACACAAGGAGCATTAGCAAAGTTCGGACATTCGGTCATCTTTGTTGCGGGGTTACCTAAGTGTACTTTTGCCAGTACAGCCAGCCAAGTAGATATAAACAAAAACTACTGGGTTCTCTGGAACCTACCTTGAACAATTCATTCCACAGACGCTTCGACTGGCCTGCCTTGAAATGCGGTTGTTTTGCAAGGTCGCGCACACCATCGTCCTCACGTATTCGATGACGGTCCTGCTCCGCGCTGTACTGCTGCTGTGTAGCCTCAGCCTTATGAACGAGGGACTATACAATGAATAAAAGCGGGGTCAATAAGGCGGAAAGCACTCAAATTAGCTGGTCAGGTAAAGAGGAGACGAAAGAGAAGAATACTCTGAACCTGGCGGCCAAATAGTGACTGCCACTGTTTCCTTCAGCATCAGGGTATTCGATGAATAGGCGGGAAACATTAATTTGATTACGTAGCTTACTGTCAAGTCCTCAAAGGGCAAATTCGGGCGCTTGCGCTGAGCTTTACTTCCGAAAACATGCGCAAAACTTTCAGAGGACAATATGGACGGTTTCATTTTCTAACCAAAACCATTAGGAATAAAGAGGTAGATACAATTTTTTTCTCATCCAGCAAAGAGATTGGGAGTTTTGTTTGGCGAACAATCAATTCATATGGATTTCGGGTCTTCATAGCTTCTTTGAAGTTCTGAAGCGCACCTTGGCTTATAACTCGCGTATTTCCTGGAAGAGCGTTACCATAGTATCTTCAGAGAATAGCTTACCAAACCATCGACGATTCGGCTCGACACGTGAGACAGAACCCGAGGGCAGAGTAGATTGGAAAGGCGCGGGTCGAATTATTTTCCCCACTTTGTCTCTTACTCAACATGTACCAGAAAGTCAAGAAGCCAATTTACCTTTTGGCCTTGAAGTTTCTGTACATATTCAGCCTCTTGATGGTAGCTTTTGAACGCATTGTACTGCCTTTGGGCTGCTTCTCACGATCTAGAAATAGGCTTGATATACGTCAGGGATGTGGCTTACCTGGATTCATAGAATGCTTTGCATGATTTACAGTATCTTTTGTCCTGGCTCGAGCCATCTTTTTTCGAGGTAAAACTCAATTCCCACAATATAAATTGGTTTTATTAGGAGAACAGGAACCTAAAATGAAGAAAGTAAAGACCAATCGTACAATCTGCTTGATCAATAACTTTCGAAAACCGCTCTACACTGATGAGTGAGGGCAGAGAAAAAATAGTATAGTAGACCTGATGTATCAGATGTGCACCGTCAGAAAATGGGTTTCATAGGTTGAATGGAGGGAAGAAACTGAGAGCCGACAAGACGTTTAACAAGTGTCTTACAAAATTGCAGACGACGGTGGAAATCAACGGCAACGGATTCAATACACCAGTTAAGAAATCAAATGTTCCGGGTTACAGTGCTGGGCAAAATGTGGTACACTGCTGATTCTCTTTATTGGTCTAATCCCAGAGTAGTACTCACATGACATTGGCACTTGCATTTCGAGCTCAACGATGACTTACGAGTTTTATGGTGTTGTCACGACAGACCCCGAGAGTCACGAAAATGCAGTGAACAAATATATCAAAACAAAACAAACAACCAGTGAGATCCCACCAACAATAATGTGGAGCTAGCAATAATGAGAGCTATGGAGGTCAGCACAAGGCAGAACTTGCCTTCTTAGCACCAGCAACCAGCATCACAACTGGACAGTCAAGTATTATTAGGTTGAAAATTTCAAGCCCTTCCGAAAGGTATTTGTAGTAGTTAGAATTAACCTAAGACCGAGGTCGTATGTAAAATTTTCCACTTATTTTCGCGCGAGTGATTTGCTGTCGTATGCCCTTGCAGATCCAAAGAGTAAAGGGATTCAAACTGAATAGCGATCATACAATCACTTGTCGGGTGGAACACAGTGAAAATTTTTGTCCAGCCCAACAACAACGATGGCAATCACCAGGAGCTCTTTCGAACGGAGTTACAGAAATTCTGCTAAATTTATCGCATAGATGCACTAGTCTACTACTTCTTGGGGTATGTTCTGGACTTAGTGGTGGTATAAAAACCCACTTACAGGTAAGATACAGAAAGTCACAGCAACATCTTCCGCATCTTTGAATCTCTCATTTTCCCTATCAGCAAATATCACTACAATGATGAACTTATAATTCTGACAAAACAAATCGATACCCCGCCAGATTCTTGTCGGAAAATTCGGTTGCGGACTAGTTCCAATTTAAACTTCTTATTAGTCTCCAAAAGCATATAACTATGAAGCACTTCTGAAGTGTTTAAAATCACCAAACCTGGTGCATTAGGTCGGAAATGACAGTTGTTAGTCGTGATGGTATCACTTAGTTGATGTGTTCTTGCGCTCACAGACCTAAACTGATAAAGACCAAATTTTGAGCCCCTGTTACAAATGAAAGAAGAAAAGGGGTATTTCCGAGTCCGTATATATGCTTTCACACGGTTAAAGATGAGCAGACAATCATACTGGTGGTATGAATCAATGTACCACACTAACATTACTGTCACTGATGAGTATGATCAGTGTGTAGAAATGAAACATCAAAAATGGACAAATCAGTTGAAGGATGATGGGTATTAGAACACACCTAACTTAAGCGGCGGTTTGCCCTCGAAAGACATCACAAAAGGTCAAAGTAGAGAGCTTTTCTGTTAACCTATTCATTAGATCATTGGTCACCACACGACTTACCTTTGGATGCTGACTGTTGTGTTTATACCTCCACTCTTTCTTTGCGAAGTTACCTATAGATACTGTTTCAACGAAAACTTCGGGAGATCATTGAAGCTCGAATTTTACGTACGCCGTGGGAGTGCAGTAACCTGGATCACCGATTCTCAGTGTCTATTTAATCCGTTTGTTAAGTCCGGAAGCTGGCGAAATAAGTGGTCCTCTCCAAAAGTCAAACACCATTGGAATGTTTCACGAAAAGCACTTTTCATTTGAGTGCACGTCAAATCAGTAAGCATATGATGGGCACTGGTAATTGAAAAAACGCAGTCTTTGGAGTGATTCTTTCAGGAACTTAGCTGCGAGTAAAGCAAGTTGACCTGCGTTGCTTGGAAGCATCTAAACCGGCTACTTAATCGTCGCTATCATCATCATCAGTTTCATCATCATCATCCTGAACTGCAGGACGTTGCTTGGAAAGCATTATATCGTCTCTGATCTGTCGGATCATTTGTGTGAATGCACAACACGGGCAACAGCACCCCACGCAGCAGTCAGTCATAGGCGTCCCGGGTATTCCTCTTCGGAGACGGACCTTTCTGCGCAAGCAGCCCAGAACTGTGCCCCAACAACAGCACGTGAACAAACAAGCCCAACACCCGCATTGGTATGTGAGTGCTCGAAAGACTCCAATATCTTTAATGATTTCTTGGTAGGCACATGGAGTGCACATAGCAATGAAAAGACAAGTACTACATCCAGCTGTACTGCAGCAAGCATCACCTAACCAGTGGTTGAACTTATTGGTTTTCCGAGGCCCGTCATCATCATCCTCATTACCACCACCACGAGGCATAGCGAGTCAAAAGTATTGTCCTCTTCCCGATTTTCTTATTCCCACATTACGCCATAGAGTTCACTTGTGAATATTCAAACTTCGGATCAATTGCTCGTCACACGTGACCATCGGCGCCACATCTGTCGATCGGATTCACGGCTCCAAGGGTAAAGAAGAAGAAAGTAGTTCACCTTCTGCACCCTTTTGGTGCATAGCTGCCAAATAACCCAAAAAAAGCACGAGGACTGATATACCGTCAGGGTGTCCAAACCCAGAAAAGTACAATTGAAAAGCCAGGGCTGGTTTCGTACCATGGACCTATCACAGGAATTGAGTATTCAACTTCGTCCAAATGCAAACAATGCTGGTATATCTTCATGCTATAGGGCGCTCACAATGCTGTATTTCTGCAGCGTTCAGTTTTTTTCAGTTGCACCCATGAAAAGCTTCAAGACCAAATAAATTTTAGATTCCCGTTAGGGATGGAGTATCTCAAGGGAATCTTGACAGTTTAAAGTCGACTCCGGAAACGGAATGATAAAACCACTGAAAGCAAAATGTGTAAAAGCCGTCAGCCGGAGAAACGCGCGTAAAGATACAAGGATTTGAGGCACGATCTAGTTGTGCACCTAATACAACTGTTCTGCTGAAGGCTTGCTGCTACGACCTCACGGAATTCCAAACTACACCCCCTGGCAAACGCTGAAACAGCCTACTGCAGATTCTAATCAGTAGTTTTATCCCATGTCGCCGGAAAGTACTTTGTCACATACCAATTACTGTTGGAAAGCTAGTATTCCGTGATGGTCCTGACAACGATACGAGGCCAGCGCGGCCACTCAAGCTATCGAGCGAAGTCCGCTATATGGACCGCTGACCCTCTCAAGTCTTCTGCTCGTATTTCATTATTTCAATCATTTTTGCAGAGGTGTAGCCATCGGCTTATCGTCCAGCCTAACATTTTCGGCTACACATATCAAGCGCGCAAAGATAAAGAGTAAGATAAGCGTTCAGCTGTGGCATCTTTAGGCGCCTAGCTGCCATGTCATTCGAAGGAGGCACGGGGGATGAGATATTGCCAGGTTACCATTGAAGAATGTGTCCAGCACCAGAAGCTGCGTTGCGTATGCCGAACTACCGTTTGCCGAAAAGATTGCTGTTTTCCATGCCCAACTCAGAGTGGCGTAAACAGAGAGGTGGCCAACCCTTGACTTGGCAGAGGAGTATGGAGGAGATCACGAAACGCTTGGGTGCTGTCGGTGCTACTCGCCTTCCAGGGTGGGGACCGCGTGATCCTCACTGTGCCTGGTTGGAGACACTACAAGATATGGCCGCCAACCGATGTCAGTGGCGTTGTCAGTTCCTATCCAGATTGCCTGAGTGAATGTCTGGAAGTGTAGGCACCTCGGAATGATTGTGGTAAGCTAGCACTAAGTCCCTTCTCTGTCCACCTTTACTCTTTTCTTTACAATTAGGCTTTCAAATAAATCATGGTTGTATGGCAGTGAAGCATCGGTGCTGAACACTGATGCCCTGCTGTCGATGATGATGATAACCAAAGTCTAGACAGAAGTCGAGATACAGAGGCCGGGTTCGAAGATCGGCGCAAAGATTCATCCAATAACCATATGGCCCTGCCATAACAGCTGATGAAATGAACCATTCACTAATATGAGGCACTGGACACTTATACGGTTTGTAATTATCGTTTGGTTTCTCAAGGCCCATTGGATAGAGTCAGCAACGAAGTCAGAGTTCCCATGTATCCGATCCCATTTAGTAACAAGTGTCACCGAATACGACTGTCACACTCGATAACACTGTATTGTAGTTCACAGTAAGTCAGAAGAACGCGTAAGTACGGACACGAGTGTATTGGGTACACGCGGCCAGGCAGGCAAGCAAAACAACTGAGTCACATATCCAGTCAACCCACAGCGCTCACGCGAGCCAACCAATCGGACACACATCCAATCAGCCACTCAAGTCACATGCCAGATCGATGGTGGAACGACGAACGGACACGCACACTAGCAAACTCTCTGACACAGCGAAGCAGCTATTACACACTGGTTACTGCATTTGGCCTCAAAACTTGAAAAATCGTTCAGCTGTAGCACCCTTTCGGTGCCTAACTGCCGTGCCACTAGAAGGAAGCACGGGGGCTGGGATACTGCCAAGGTGCTCAAGCCTAGACAGGGGAAGTCGAGAGGTGGAGGTCGAGATTTAAACACGGACCTTCCTGTCAGTAAATTTTTGTTCTAACCACTGAGCCATCTCGCCTCGTTTTATGCCTGATGCTGATAATTGTGGGAGGCCACGCCTCACAACGTGCTGATTAGTCGTCTTACAGCAGTACATTAAGATGACAGGTGTAACTAGGAAGCACGAACAAGAAAACATTAAACTGGACCAGAATGACAAACGAAACATATGTTGGACTCGCATGAGCATACACCATCACCTGAGGGCAGACAGTTTGTGGTCTGAGAAGGAGAAAACAGTTAAATAAGATGTACAGCAAATAGCGGCA